TATTTTGAATTTGAATTTAACTCCTATCTAGATAACTATTTATTCCTAACTTTAAAAACAACGATTTAGTCTAAAATTAATTTAAATCATTTCTGATTTGAATTTAAATATTTGTTATTTTATTTTTCCGACATTAACTCGGATTTAGGATTTGAATATAACTCCCATCTAGATAATGGTTTTTTTACTAAAAGAAATTTTGGCAAATTCATTCCCCAATTTTTCTTCTTATTTTCTCACCCTATTATTTCCTGTCTATGAAATTTTCTTCCCGATCAAATGATCTGGGGTGAACTGGGACTTTTTTTTTAATAATGTTTTATTTTAAATTTATTTCGAATATACATCATGCGCTAAACTATTTTTAAGAATAATGTTTGAAAAGTTGTAGCTCGTCGACGACTATTCCAATTCACTCTTTCCCTAGTTACATGGCACCTTGTGTGTGTGTTTTTTTTTCAATTCTTGCATGTCCAGAGAGGACATATACCAAAATTGAACACAATTCTCACACTTTGGTGTAGTGGTTGTACATCTATTTATTATTATTATTATTATTTTTATCTAGAGGGCTTAGATTAAGTCTCCATGATATCACTTTTTATTCAATAAAATTTTATATTGCAAATTGTTTTCTCTTTTAAACAAATTTAAATAAACGTTACCTATTAAAATTCATCTTCTCTTCTAAAATAAAATAATTACTATTAAAAAGATATATTATTTAAAAAAATCATTTTAGAAAAATTGATAGAATTTCTTTTTGCCCACATGAACATACCTTATCAATACTAAAAAAATAAATTATATTGTAATTATTTCTCTTTTAAATAAATTTAAATAAATGTTAGTTATTGAATTTTTAATTTCTATAATAAAACAACTACTCATTCTAAAAAAATAAAATAAAATAAAATAATTACTATTAAAAAGTATATTATTGAAAAAACTGCTAATTTTTTTTTTAAAATAAAATAATTACTATTAAAAATATATTATTTAAAAAATATTTTAGAAGAAAAAGATAGATTTTATTTTACTAAGTAAGTGAAATGAATTATATTAATGTAGTAATATAGTTTTTACAAATATTTGAAAAGTAAAAACACCTCATTATATTTTTATAATAATACGCTTTTTAATAGTAATTATTAATTGTTTTAAAATTAAGTGTTATTTTATTTTAGAAGAGAAAATTTATTTAAATTTGTTAAAAGGAGAAAATAATTCCAATATAACATTCTATTGAATAAAAAGAAAAGAAACAGAGACTTAGCCCTAATATCTATAAATCAAAGTATATTTTTTCCAATATTTAAATATCTTCAAATATATAGGTGATCCATTATTTCATTATTTTATATTATATTTTCTTTCCTTAAATACCCTTATCCATTGATTATATTTTGCATTAATTTTTTTAGGTTAGAAAACACTTTCGACCTCGAAAGTAACAATTTTAGTCCCTAAACTTTAGTTTGTAACGATTTAGTCATTGTACTATCAAATTGGTAACAATTTAGTCCTTTAACTTTAATATGTAACGATTTAGTTATTGTAATTTAAAGTTTGTAACGATCAGTCGTAATCGTAAAAATTTTTTTGTTAACTTTCTTATATATAGAGATTGATAAATTAAAGAGAGACTTTATAAATTAAAAAGATTAAATTATTATATGATAAAACACTTTGTTTTAATAAAATCTTTTACGATAGGGACTAAATTATTACAAATTTTAAACTAAAGAGACTAAATCATTATAAACTAAAGTTCAGGAACTAAACTATTATTTTAGTAAAGATACACGGACTAAATCGTTATTTTAATAAAAGTATAAGAATCAAAGGTATTTTTTAACCTTTTATTTTTTAATTTATATTCTTTACTTATATGTTTCGGTTGCAATCTTCTTCCATTTTTAGGTATTACATTAATTTATTGATTTTGTTCTTTTTAAAAAAGGGTATAATTTTGGATTTTTTTTCACCTAATTGAAATTCCCTAACAAACTATAAACCCTAAAAATTTGAAAATACTAAACCGCATCATATTGTGACTATAAGCCACAAATAATAAATTAATCCACAAAGAACCCTGAAAATCAGAATAAAAATCCCTTAAATCAAGGGAAGTTATAAACAAAATATTTACATAAATAGCACAAAATAAATTGGTATTTTCAAGTTAATTTTTTTTTTAAATAGCATAGTTCAAATAAAAAACTTAAACTCAAATATAATATAAAACACACTTAAAACAAACAAATTTATGCTATATTTGAAACAAAAATATATTGTATAAATTTGAACCAACTATAGTGGCAAAATCATTATATTATTTATTATAAAATCTCGATCAAAGCAATAATTAAAAAAAGAAAATAATGAAAAACAAAATTCAAAAGTATAAACCAACTTTAAAATCGACTGCTGATTAAAAAAGTGGCTTCAAATGTATTTATAAAGAAGTAAAAAATCAGAAAATGAATTAAGCATAGTGTAAAGTTTTTCATCTCTGTCTCCAATAATTCTAAATACTTCATCCAAACTATTTGCAACTTTCCTTTGTTGCAGCCTAAGAATTCTCACAAATTCAGATTGGTCAAGAATGATTCCCAATTGAGATGAACGAGGAACAACTCAGAAATTCTTCTAACAAAAGTATTTTTCTTATGGATGTATTTTTCTAGTGTTCAAGTAGGGAACGTAGCTTCTTCTAGTAACTATACCATTTCAGTCGTAATTAAGATTATCAATAAGACATTTGAATAGCCCAACTATTTGATTTTGGATAAACTGTCAAGATCATCAACGAACCAAATCAGGGGTAGATAATCAAAGCCAACAGAAACATTTACAGATTATGAGAAAATACCTCATCACAGTCATACTCAGCCAAGCCGGTGAAACTCTAAACACAGAATAGTTGGGAAGCACAATTTCAGTATAAGTAGAGAAAAAGCTTACAGGTTTAGGATTTCATCCCTTGATACCGAGTGGCCTCTAAATCGAGCCAAATGGGGGGTGGCCCAAAAATTAGTGCATTGTAATGGATAGATGCTTTCAGAATCCTGCTCTCCTCAAGGTGGAATACATGAGTGTTATAGCCGAGAGTGCATTTTGGTGCGTGGGTAAAATATATGCAACTCCCTTTGAGCCCTTCAAAATTTGGGGCTGCAACTGAGAAACAACAGTCATTGCCCAAAACAAAGGCTTGATTCCCCAAATTCTTCCCTCCACAACGGCGAAAACCACCTGCATTCCACAACGGCGGCTCCTTGTCCAGAAACTGATCACTTCCTTCCAAAACATATCGTTGTTGTATGCATAGCAAGTAGAAAGTGGATGCAGATAACGCATTTTACCTAGCTTTGTACTCTCCACCTTGCCGCGCCAGAAGAAGAAGAAGCAGCAGAGTTTGAAGTTTCATGGCGATCGAGAGGACTGAGGCGATAGATTATCCGTCGGATAAGTAATGTGTCAGTGTCGTTCAGAAGACCGGAGAAGGGAGGTCGAGAGGTAAAAGAGGGGAAATGGCGTTGAAAGGAGGAATAGAAGCGCGCCAGACTATGTCGATGTAGGTTTCGAGGCGTTTTCCGATGATCGGCCAAAGCTCGGGAGGGAGATCGGACCACCGTACACGGCTGTCGTCCATGGCGGCGGTCTGACTTGCAGAGGAAACTAATCTGATTCGTCCAACAGAAAGGATGCGATAAAGAGAGAAATCTGAAGATTTTGAAAATTTCCAGGTAAATATTTTCTATCGGCTAATTTTAAGAATAAGGCATTTAAAAATAACGTAGGTTTCAAAATAAAATCAAAAGAAATGTAAATTAAATAAGAAATTTCAAAATTAAGATAGGTTTTAAAACTATTTATAGGGTAGAGATTTAGTCAAAGTCAAAGGAACTGCCACATATACATACAGGATGAGAGAATGGCAGAGAATTGGTAGGAACAAAATGGATACTTTTAAAAGTTGAAAACATCTGAACTAAAATAAACGTTATTACACAGATTAACCAAAACAATAAAATAGTATTTAAGCTTAGAATATATTTCAAAGTTTACGTGTTGAGAGCTTTTTTTCTTTTTCTATGACTTTATTTCCATCCTTCAAACACGCTTTGTCGTTTAGCTCACAACCATTCATTTCAAAACCTTATCCATTATGCAATAGCAAATAATAAATTAAGATATCAAGTTTGTGGACAAATATTTACAAAAGTTGCAAATTTAGAAGTGCTTAAACCTACCCAATCAATATGGTTCAATCTCCTCTGCAAGATGATGATAATAATAATAATAATAATAATAATAATAATTGGTTCAATCTCTGTTGCCTTACAACAGAACTAAGAACATGGTTTCATACATTAAAGCTCAAGAAAACAAACTTGGTGAAAATTCTAATATTCCATAATCTCTCCCACATTCCTCTCCCTCCTAATTTTCATGGCGATGTTGAAAGTTGATATCCTGCAATATGATTGTGGAAGAAAGCTCAAAAAAATATAGATCGTATTGAAATAAGTTTTAGGTTCAAATCTCATTTTTCTTTCTAAATTTTCTATTTTATTCCATTTTTGTTTTTGGACTTAATAAGCTTTTAAATGAGATTCCATTCTCAATTTCATTACTAGTACATACCTTCAAGGGAGGAAGGGATTTGGAGAGCCAAATCGGCGGCCGGCTGAAGATGTCGATGATTCCGGGATAAGCCAAAATTTTCCCGATCCTTCCTCCTTCAAGATCGAACACACGAATCGAACTTCTTACAGAGAACTCATCGTCATTCGAATCGGAGAAGTAAATGCAATTTTGTATACATCCATCGAATTTTGAGGCTTCGACTGAGAAAGAACAATCGTTACCCAAAATAATCGATAGATTCCCCAAATTCTTGACCTCCACCCATCTCCCCCATTCTTGATCTAGCTTATAAGCCTTGAAATCGATTGCTTTTGAAATTGCTACGGGATCTCGATCGATGTGATGGATTGGGTGTCGGAACTGACGCTCCTGATCCACAAATCGATCGATGACCAGAAGTTCGCCGCCGCACTCCACTAAGTGTTTCCGGTGGCCGAGTCCAATTAGGGGAGGAGAAAATTGAACCAATCTCATCGAAGAATCGATCCAGAAAATCGTTCCCCATTTGTCAACTGCATAATATTGCCGATTGTGGACAATCACATCGTCATAGTGGAAATTTTGTTCGTCGATTAGATTCCATTTCTCATCCCCTAATCTGGCAAACCCTAACTTCCCTCCCTCGTACACTGCAATTATGGTACACTCCTCAGAGTTAGGAATAGCAACAACAACTTTAGCTATTCCAGGAACACAAATATCATCTGTGAATTTGAGCGAATACGAAGTGGCTAATTTGTCGATTCGAGTATCCAACAAGTTAAACTCCTTCTGTTCATCTGGAACCGATTTGAGGTTGTATCCGATTTGGCGCTTGGAGAGAGGATGCAGTAACCGCATCTTGGGGAGCTCGAGTTTCTCCAACTTAACTAGGCGGCCATTCGGGCGAGTGGAAGAACAGGAAGAGGAATCGTTAGGACTTGGTTGGGGATGCAGAGGAGAGAGACGATAGACAGTACTTTGGGAGAGGAAGACGTGGACAGAGAAACTTTCAGCTGTGGTTGAGGAGGGAAATCGCAGACGTGGAGGAGGAGATGTTTCTTGGAAAGGAGGAAGCGATGATCGCCATGATCGGCAAACGCTGCGGAATCGGAGGACGTCGATGTAGTTGTTGAGGCGTTTTCCGACTGCCGACCAGATTTCAGACGGCAGCTCCGACCACCGCACTCCCGCGTCACCCATTTGGAGGAACTGACTTGTAGACGACATTGTTGACTCGTGAATCATGTGATGCCTCCTAAGTAAATAAATAAGATAGTTTTTTTTTCTTTTTTTATACAAAATAAATAAAATAGTCGAACAATGAATTATTGGGTTAGTCTGTCTTTTTCTTTTTCTTTTCTTTCCCATTTTTGAAAAAAATAAAGAATATATATATATATGTATATATAATAATATGATATTTGTTATGGAGAACAAAAATGACCCGAAACGAGACAAGGAGTTGAAGTCTGATTGGGGAAGACCGGCCCGGGACATAATGGGCCGGCCAAAAGAGTGACCTAACGCCGGGGCAGAGAACGAGGAAAGCGACCAGAGGGAAGCCCACTGAGCCACGAAGGGCTCGGCCCCGACCC